ATAGGTGCGAGTTGTCCAATGGGTTTCGTTTTATTAAAGAAATGCTATTGCAGTATCATAATTTTAAAATGCAATGCGCATATCAAAAATTGACAGAGAACAATGTTAAGGTATTGAGTGTCAAATGCGACGCTTTTGTCGTGGACTGTTCGGGTTTTAATAAGTTTGGTTTGAGAAAGACTCAGCAGTTGCTAGATTTTCACGATGGGATCGGTGGGTGGAAATTAGCCAAGACTCACGATGAGATCCATCATACAGGAAAGCAGTTGTATGAACAGAAGAAGTGTGAATATGTTGATATCCCGATTGTCAAAAGTAAGAGAGTTAACATCATTAATGAGTATGATGAAAATGAATTGGTTGAACTTGTTGAGAAATATAGGTGCTTGATGATCAAGGCCAAATTCGCAGGAGCGGGGAAGTCCACCATCTGCAAGAACATGGAGAGACTCAAGGGTTATAAAGTGTTGTTCGTGGTTCCTACCAATAATCTGGGTTTGGAGTGCGAAGTGGAAAGCGTCACTGTAAATAAATTCTTCGGTATAGCAGTCAATGACGAGAAGCTAGATAAATACGATCATTCGATGTTTGATGTCATTGTGTTTGACGAGATTTGTTTTAATAATACCTTTGTGTTGGCAAAAACCAAGGGCTTTGTTGAGCAGTTCAAGGACAGTAAAATAATGTTGGCAACCGGTGACGCCAAGCAGTTGAGCCCCATAAAAGCACTGACTAACACTAAGAAACACGAGATTTATATGAATGAATGTATTGACAGCATTTTTCCTCATCATTTGTTTTTGGAAGAGTGCAAGCGATTGAAGACTCAGGAGGACAAGGATAAACTTAAAAGTATTTACGCCGACATCTTTGAGCATGAGTTGTCTCTACATGATGTCATCAATAAGTATTTTAAATATACTGATGACATCACAGGAACAGAAAGCAATGTCGCATATTTAAATAACACTTGTAGAGAGGTTTCAAGGCAGATCAGGAAACGACAGGGCAAACAAAATGAGTTTGAAGTCGGCGAGATCATGATATGCAGAGAGTATAGGAAGACAAAAACCTATAAGTTAAATGTGATTTTTAGGTATGAGATAATTAATATTTCCGATCCTTGGATTACCATTGCTAATATCAAAACACGAGAAGAGATTACGCTAAATATTGGTATCTTGAGAAGTCATTTTATCTTTGCCTTCTGTTATACTTGTCATTCTGTTCAGGGGTGTTCCATTGATGACGATGTCGTGATATTTGACTGGAACCACCATCTGATAACTCGCGAGTTTTTATGGACTGCAATCACTCGTGCCAGGGATTTGAACAGGGTCAAGTTTTACAAATACAGTAGTGATTTAAATGAAGAGTTTAACGCAAAATGCATTATGAATTATTTTGATAGAAAGGTGTTAGCATACAAGGAACAGGATAGGAAAAACAAATTTGAGATCCCAAAAGACAATTATGTGGATGCCGAATGGTTGAAGGACAATGTCAACGGAAAGTGTGCAAATTGTGGCTGTGGCTTCGTGTTGTCAATGGATTCTGGCAATATAAACTCTAATTTGACATGTCAAAGGTTGTGCAATGATCTTCCCCATACAAAGGATAATGTCATTGCCTTCTGTGCTTCTTGTAATAGATGCTTCAGTGATAAAATAACATATTGATATTTATTTTATAGTATTATATATATGAGTGAAAAAGACAAGATAATCAGTGAGGTCTACTACGATCAGGCTGGGTTTGGTAGCATCGCCACCACTTACAAAGATGCAAAAAAGAAAGATGCATCCATAACAATGCAAGATGTCAAGGAGTGGTTTCAAGAGAACGTGGAACGGAAAAAACAACTGTCTGGATACAATTCGTTTATTGCCCCTGATATCAACTTTGAATATCAATTGGATCTGTTTTTTATATCAAAAATGATTTAGATAATCAAAAATATAGGATAGGCTTATTGCTTATTGATGTATTTTCCCGCAAAGCCGTGGTGGTGCCTATTGCATCCAAGCAACCTGCGACATCACGGCTGGGATCATGGAGGCATTAAACAAAATGGGAGGGAAACCCAAATTAATTTATTCGGATGACGAGGGAAGCCTGAACACCCAAGATCTTGTTGATTTTTTCAAGGACGAAGGGATCCAAAACTATAAAACACGAGGGCACCCCCATTTCGCCGAGCGTTTCATTCGCACGTTCAAGGACATGCTTTTCAAGAGGGTTGACGCAGACGAGAAAAAGGGAAAGGTTAATATACAATGGGTTGATTATATCCCCGAGATCATGCTGACATACAACAGTAAAATGGTTCATTCTGCCCACGATATGACTCCAAACGATGCCCACAAAAAGGGAAACCATCTTGAGGTCAAGATGAAGCTTGAGATGAACAGAATCAAAACCCGTAAATATCCCCTTGTTAGGGTTGGTGATGAGGTCAAAATATACCGCAAAAAAGGGATTTCCGAGAAAGAAAGAACGAGTTCATGGTCAGCAAACAAGTTCACAATTGAAAGGATTGAGCGAAAACTTGGACAAGACTATTATTATGTCCAAGGTGTGACTCGTGCTTATTTGAGATCGGAAATTCTGAAGGTTTGAAAAATAATATGTAAACGGTTCTAATAGCTGATGAATCTATTAGAACTGTTTAGTGGGACAGGGGTCGGTCGGCCGCATCGCCCGCGATCTGGGGTTCAATGTCATTTCACTGGATTTGAAAAATGCTGATATAAATACTGATATTTTGAAATGGGATTATAAACAATTTGATAGGAACCATTTTGATTTTATTTGGAGTAGTCCCCCATGCACTGAATACAGCAAAGCAAAAACTACAGGAATTAGGAATATTGAATATGCTAATAGTATAGTTTTAAAAACTATTGAAATTATCAAATATTTTAATCCTAAATATTTTGTAATCGAAAATCCCCAAACTGGATTATTAAAAAGTCAGGAGTTTATGAATGAGTTTGATTTTAAAGATGTAGATTATTGTAAATATGGAATGCCTTACAGAAAGAGAACTAGGCTCTGGAATAACATTACAACATGGAAACCTAGAGATTTATGTAAAAAGGATTGTGGCAACATCAGGAATAATAAACATATTGAAACTGCGCAGAGACTGCCAAATGGAAACAAGAAAAAATGGGGAGACAATCCAAAAATACATAAGCAGGAAGACCTATATAAAATACCTAGTAGTTTAATCAGTGAAATTTTGGTGAGTTTGGTTGGTTAAATAATTTGGGGCTGACCACTGCCGGAAAAAGCCCCTTTTTTAACATACACCGCTTTTGGTGTATGCGTACACCGCTTTTGGTGTATGCGTACACCGCTTTTGGTGTATGCGTACACCGCTTTTGGTGTATGCGTACACCGCTTTTGGTGTATGCGTACACCGCTTTTGGTGTATGGTGTTTGTGATAATATTTGTCAATGTATGATATGTGATAATTGCAATAAAATTATAAACGAAATTGATGATATGAATAGCAAATATATTAATACTAGAAATGTTAAAAATATTGATGAAGATTTAGAAATATTTGTGTTTATTAAAATGAATAAGTTCTTGACTGAAGAAGAGTTTGGACATTTATTATATAAGGGCGATGAGGAAGGAAATGATAATGATTCTATTTTTAAGTATTATAATCTGGTAAAAAGATTATATGGTATGTCTTTTAATATTAGGCGTTTAATGAAAGAAGCATTGAATGATAATGACTTTGATTTTTTAAGTTGTGAGTATGATGTAGATGAACTTAGTTATACAGTAACACATGCAATTAGAACAATGGGCTTGTTTAAAAAGGAAATAGGAAATAATATATATAATGAAAAAACAGCTGATAAAATAATAAAAAGAATTGAAGAATCATTTTATAATGAATTATAATAAAGTTGAACTCATAATATAATTATAACATGTAAACATTTATATGTTATAATTATAGTGTAATTTTCCCGCATAAGCCGTGGGGGTGCTTTCCTACATAGGCCTTTCCCATCCGCATTTTGCCATCCATATTTTACTGGGATTGTTTTCAAGATTTGGGTTAACGGTTTTAATTCTCCCTTTTCCATTGGTTAACCATTTTTCGGGGAGTGATAATCGACAATGTGTTATTTGGATGGGAAAGATTGGGTTTATTCATTTTTTAGGTATGTAATCTTGAAAGATCATTTAAGGACATGTATTCATAGCATAATATGGAGAACTCAGAGTGTAGCAGTTGTAGAGTCAATAAACCAATTACTGAATTTAACGGGTTCAAGACATGTAATAAATGTAGAGCGAAGAAGCGAGAGAGGACAGCGAATAATGGATATTTGTATTGTCATGTTTGTGAAAGAAGAGTGAACCCAGAGATTTGGGATTTCCATTTGGTTGGAGGTTGTCACCAAGATAATATGCTCAAACATCTCAAAGCAGATTATCAGAGATTAGTTGAAGACGCACCTACACAAGAATTCAAGGACAATTTTTTTCAAGAAGGTCAAGAGAGGATACAAGAACTCAAAATGACAATGCCTTTGTATAATCCAGCTTTGAGAAGAAAGAAAGTTGATCAGGTTGATGGTGAATTGGACTAAAACATGAAGTTGATCATTAGAATATTATGTTTCTAATGATTAACTTAGAGGGTTGTTCAATTTGGTGGTTTTGAATGGTGTAATTTGATAGGTGTATTTAAAAAATGCTTGAAAGTGTGGGGGGGGGGTAGGACAATGCGGACGGGAGAGGCCATCTCTAACTCCCTGACCCCCTCACCGGCCGACGGGTCTGGTGGCGGCCATTGATTGTTGGGGCTTTGCCTTACTAGGATTTGCAGGAAGTCCATACGGGCTGTGCAAAACTGACCAATAAGGTCAACTCCACTGAAATTTCCTTACCAACCTGAATCCAACCGGGTTCTGATTGTGACTCACCTGAGTGAACCTCTCCCAATCCCTTCAGCTGGGCACACGGCATGCCGGCACCCATGATCTTTTTCTCCATCTCGAGCTTCTCAGCACAGCGGCTCTCCATGTGGTGCTCGACCTGACTCAAAGCACCCCTCGTCGCCGAGAGTCTACCGTGGCCGCGTGCCCCCTCCATGGCTCAATCGCCCTCTTGTTCCCCATCGTGCGGCTTCTGGAACGTTGCATGTGGCATGGGTTTGGTATACAGCCGACCCTTGAACCTCTAGATAATCCAGTATCAAATGAGCAGCGAGACTTATCTTTTGGTTCTACCAAGATGATTCTAAAAGGTTACCGAGGCTTTGGTACAACCCTTTTCAAGCCAAGTAGAACCGCCTCCAAGAATGGCGATGGGTTTTGAGGGCTCAAATGAATATCTTCCCGTACGTGTTGGCCTCCTTTTGGCCTGGTTGTGTCCGCTTTAACACAAGCTGATAACCAAAGCTGCAATGTAACAACCGAATGAGTGGCAAAAGGCGTCCAAATGCTTGGTGTCCTCTCAAAACCCACCCCCAATGACAGCACATTTGACAGTCGCTTGGGTTTCTCTCCAAATGGAGACAAGACCCCCCCCCCCAAAAAAAAAAAAGAGGAAGAACTGCACCCCACCAACATCCAGATTGTCCGTCTTTGAACTAACCCCCCAAACAAAATGTTTTGCCCTCGGACCAAGCGATACCAAGCTTCCCCAAAAAAACCTGACCTCTCTCAGCTCCGTGCCGCGCAGTCGGCGAGCAACCGAACCTGAACCCCAGCCAGCGGATTTCGCCCAAAGAGAAACCCAGGGGTTCTAGTCTACCTTGGGTAAACTGAAATGGAATCCTGAAGAGAGGATTCGTGTTGCTCGCCCCAAGCTGCTCGCCCGTGCCAACAGGTCTTCATGCTGTGCCAAGCCTTATCCTGCCAGAGAGCTATGAGCTGAAACCAAACATGTGGCTCGAGAAGTCCGCTCACACTTGGACATCCTGGGTGGCGGCACCACACGCACTTCCCGCGTCTGGCCAACGCGATGCACCCGCGCAATGGCCTGCCAAGCACCGGACACCGGTCCACGAGACCGAAAGACGGGCGGCCTTGACCCAGTGAACAAGAAGCTTGGAGCAAGTCCCCGCAGTCCCCAAATTGCCCTCGAAACACATGGATCTTAGATTCAATTCTCTTCAGAACCCTTCTCTCAGGGAGACTCTCCATCTCAATATCTCAATGGCGCCTGCTTGTCGTTCTGCGGGTTCCAGTCCAAATCGCAAAGAATCACGGTGTCGGCCTGCCAGGGCCCTCGAAGCCTCGAAGCCGCCAGCCACGACCGGCCCATCCATCCTGCCTGCTGCAAGTTCAGGCCCAAACCGCCGGCTCTGGAGGACCTGCGCTATGGCGGGCCAAAAACATGTCCAAAATGGCACCTTGGGAAATGAAAAAGACGTAAACCTGAGTAAGCCTAGCTCTTAGAGTCTTAGACGTTGAGCCACACCCAAAATGTTCGGCTTGGAACACCGCCTTCAACCTGCCCCGAGGGCTCTCAACTCACGTCTGCGACGTGACTCCCCGCGTGCCGCGTGTCTGAGTGTCCGACAAAAGGAAGATCGGCACGTCGGGATGCTCGAAACGCTTCAAGCGCTCCCGGCGCTCGTGGAAGGAGACCTGTGCTGAGATGCCGCGATCGGCTCCATGTGAAGCTGATCGAGTGGCAGTACAATTTGGGACACATGCGACGGCACACTAGTCACTCAACAGCTCGTGCATGCGTGTCTCCACTTTGGCACCCTTCAGCTATTCAGCTCTGATAGCAAGACTGGCCTGACCATCTAGGCGGACGAAGGCCAGCTCTTTCCAACGCAAGTAATCCTGGGCGTAATGCGCTGAATCGATCGCGCGCCTCACAGAAGGCAATCCTGGATTGCGATGAAAGTCTAAGTCTCGATTCGAGGTCTCGGGGTATGACACGGACGCCGATTCATACCAAGGTCTCAAGCACCCAAGCAAAACACGCATCAACCCAGGGCACGCGCTCCCAAACCCACAGAAACCCCCCCACCTAACAAGCAATCTGGCACGTCCCCAAACTTCGGCAGTGCAACACGCTCGAAACCTCCAGGATGTTCAGGAAGCTGGTGAACTGAGAGAAGATCAGAACCTGCCAAGCTGCGCACCCCTGGGGATCTTGGGTGCACGTCTCCAAGCCTCCCAATCGAGGAAACACGAGCAGGACATCTGGCACAGGCCTTGTGCTTGAAACGCAGAAGCTTGGCCAGAATGCGGTCAAGAGCTTCGACCTGCGTTTGGCGCAAGCTGTCTCGTTTTAGCGCTGTCGGGAGTTGCGATCAGGCAGCCACGCAACCAGCTGAGACTCCGTTTCTGCCCACGAGCGCGCAGGTGCACTGCTTGGCATTGGGAAGTGCGGCCCGAAGACAAAGCAGTTCTCGCAAGGCAAGTGCCGTGAACAGCGATTGCAAGAAATGACGCTAAAGGTGAACCAACGATCGGAAGCTCTTCAACTTGGCCCCCAAAAGCCTTGAGCTTGTCCTTCAGCAAATCGTTGTCTTCCCCAAGCTCTCAAACTGTCTCGCTCTCAATCCTTCAGCAAATCGTTGTCTTCCCCAAGCTCTCAAACTGTCTCGCTCTCAATCCTTCAGCAAATCGTTGTCTTCCCATCCTCTCAAACTGTCTCGTTCTCAATCCTTCACCAAATCGTTGTCTTCCACAAGCTCTCGAAGTGTCTCGCTCTCAATATGATCTTGGTCCAGTTCCCCAAAAGCCCTGAGCTTGTCCTTCAGCAAATCGTTGTTCAAACTGTCTCGCTCTCAATCATTCAGCAAATCGTTGTCTTCCCCAAGCTCTCAAACTGTCTCTCTCTCTCTCAATCCTTCAGCAAATCGTTGTCTTCCCCAAGCTCTCAAACTGTCTCGCTCTCAATCCTTCAGCAAATCGGTGTCTTCCACAAGCTCTCGAACTGTCTCGTTCTCAATCCTTCACCAAATCGTTGTCTTCCACAAGCTCTCGAAGTGTCTCGCTCTCAATATGATCTTGGTCCAGTTCCCCAAAAGCCCTGAGCTTGTCCTTCAGCAAATCGTTGTTCAAACTGTCTCGCTCTCAATCATTCAGCAAATCGTTGTCTTCCCCAAGCCCTCAAACTGTCTCTCTCTCTCTCTCTCAATCCTTCAGCAAATCGTTGTCTTCCCCAAGCTCTCAAACTGTCTCGCTCGCAATCCTTCAGCAAATCGTTGTCTTCCACAAGCTCTCGAACTGTCTCGACTCATATTGAGATTGGTCCAATTCCCCAAAAGCCCTGAGCTTGTCCTTCAGCAAATCGTTGTTTTCCGCAAGCTGTCTCGCTCTCAATCCTTCAGCAAATCGTTGTCTTCCACAAGCTCTCGAAGTGTCTCGCCCTCACTATAATCTTGATCCAATTCCCCAAAATCCTTGAACTTATCCTTCAGCAAATCGTTGTCTTCCCCAAGCTCTCAAACTGTCTCGCTCTCAATCCTTTAGCAAATCGTCAAGCTCTCGAAGTGTCTCGCTCTCAATATAGTCTTGGTCCAATTCCCCAAAGGCCTTGAGCTTGTCCTTCAGCAGATCGTTGTCTCCCCAAGCTCTCAAACTGTCTCGCTCTCAATCCTTCAGCAAATCGTTGTTTTGCACAAGCTCTCGAAGTGTCTCGCTCTCAATATGATCTTGGTCCAATTCCCCAAAGGCCTTGAGCTTGTCCTTCAGCAAATCGTTGTCTTCAACAAGCTCTCAAATTGTCTCGCTCTCAACATGATCTTGGTCCAATTCCCCAAAGGCGTTGAGCTTGTCCTTCAGCAAATCGTTGTCTTCCCCAAGCTTTCAAACTATCTCACTCTCAATCCTTCAGCAAATCGTTGTCTTCCACAAGCTCTCGAAGTGTCTCGCTCTCAATATGATCTTGGTCCAATTCCCCAAAGGCCTTAAGCTTGTCTCTCGAAGTGTCTCGCTCTTATGATCTTGCTCCATTTCCCCAAAGGCCTTGAGCTTGTCCTTCAGCAAATTGTTTGTCTTGACCAAGATCTCAAACTGTCTCGCTCTCAATCCTTCAGCAAATTGTTGTTGCTGCGCGTGATGGCAACATGATAAGAGCACATGTTCCAGCGCATTCACGGTTGTCGTGGAGTAATGGCAACATGATAAGAGCACGTTCCAGCACGTTCAGGGTTGTCACTCGCATGATGGCAACATGATGAGAACGCCTGAGTGCATTTGTTACAGGCTGAATATAGCATATGTCCTAAAACAACTTGCGAACTCGACGCAAGTGGCATGTCAATGATAAGGGCGCATTCTAAGGCAATGGGGTCAAGTAGCCTTGGAGGATGTTGTACCTCAAAAAACAGGGGAACGCGTGTATATTCGAGAGGGGGTCGTGGACACAAAGCCGCTTTGACTGGAAAGGTTGTTACTTTTCGTTGTAAAACGACTAACCCCCCCCCTCATGTCTCAGGCTCGTGCACAAAACCCTCATTGCGATCTTGCGTCACCTTTCTTGGGCGTGGCTTCTGGCCTGAGCCTTATCTTTTGAACCTCTCGTTTGGCCCTGCCCGAGCGGAGACTTTCCAAGCGGCCTTTCCGATTCAGCTCAACTGGCATGTGACACCGTCCGCACAAACATGGAGCTGGTTGAGCTTTGGCTTCGAGGCGCTTGAAGGCCAAAAGGGCCGGATCGCCGCGGCCAAGCTGAGCGCGCCTTGCCGGAGACCCGGAAGAGGTTGCGGTCGCGGGGATAATCATCTTGAAAGAGGTACCTCAAGCGCATGCTCTGGGCCACCGCGTCCCAGCTAAGAGACCCTCCGCTCAGATGGGTCGCACGGGTGCAGCGCGATCTTGCGAAGCTGCATGAGCGCATTGTTCACCTGTCAAGAAGCGTTGCGGCAATTCACCGACGGGCCGCGTCAGCTTGCAACCCAATATTGAGCTTGGAGGATAGAGTGCCACGCAGGACCTGCGGTGGCAATAGTAGTGGCAGCAGTATTAGTAATCAAAGGATTCTGCAAGAGTGCATGCGCTTGCGATGGTCTTCTGAATCCACACACTGCGCGCGACAAAGCTCAGAAAAAGCGGGAAAACGCAAGCAAATTGGCGGCGGGCTGAAAAAACGCGGCTCGCCTGCTAAAGTCGGCTCACCCGGCAACCACCACTTAGATACGGCCGGGCGCACTGCTGCGCAGTCTTCAATCGGTGAACCCTCTGCACACTTTGGGCGGGGCGACCTTCAAAACTCATGGCTGTTGACGCTTTCTCTTCGCTTGCGCAACCCTCTGCGGACTTTCAGGCTCACCTTCAAAATATGTTTGTCACTTCGCTTGTGCAACCCTCCGCGGACTTTCGGAGGGTTGACCTTCAAAACCTCGTGATGTTTTCGCTTCGCCATTCGGCTGGTCGACCTTCAAAAACTCTTGTGTTTTTGCGCTTGTCACTTGTTGATCACCCAGCCCCCTGCGGACTCTAGAGAAGTCGACCTTCAAAGAAACTCGCGCTTTCTCCGCGCAAAAAATATCAAACGTTTAGCCCTCTGCAGACTTTCGGTGGGTCGACCTCAAGAAACTCCTCTGACGATGGCTGCCAGAGGCACTGACCTCCTGCTGCGCCGGCAAAGACGGCAGAGGTGGAGAAACGGGGAGAAAGGCGTGCTCTAAACTCTCGGCGGACTTTCGTCAGGTGAGAAAACGAGAGAGACAGACAGAGGAAACAAAGGAAGAGCAAAAGAAGAAAGACAACGAGAGAGAGAGAGAGAGAGACAGAAAGAAAGAATGAAAGAAAAACGGCAAGAGAAACGAAAGAGAAACAAAAGGAAAAAGGAGGAAAGAGGAAAGAGAAAAGAGAAAAGATAAAATAGAAAAGAAAAATGAGAGAAGAGAAAAGAGAAGGAAAGAAGAAGGAGAGAAGAGAGAGGAGAGAAGAGCACGAGACAGAGAGAAGGGTCAAACAACCAAGGTTCAAACTATAGTTATGTCTTGAAACTTCCGACCCCCAGCTCTGCCGGACTTTGCTGGTAACCATGACAAGTGCGTAACATGACATAGCATCATGGTTTCTTGTCGACACTATCGTTCTGGAAAGTGATTCAGTGCCATTGCCGAGCCTGTTCGCTGCAAATCTGGTCGTCTTCCATCCACCTGATGGTTTTCTTCTTGAGGTCAGCATACCTCAGCATGTCAAAACAGTCATGCTTACCGACCTGTAAGCCAATCAATCCACCTTCGGCTTTCTTGGGGGTGTTCTTCTGGGGTTGATTTAGAGGGAAGCTATGGAGAAACCTGGGTTCCCCATTTAGAGACAATCTCAAACGGGACCCCAATTGAAGCTGGTGATCCTTCGTACGTCCTGAGACCCCGGCGCTTCACTCTGACACGCGCTCAAAGGCACCCTCACCGTGACCTGGCTTTTGACTAAGGCCAACAAGAAGCATCACTTCAATACATTGACATATCCAAGCCGGAGGCCACATAATCGCTGCAAGCCAAGCATTGCGCGCACTTTTGCCTCTCAATTTCCAAGGCTCACTAAGACTCACGGCTCAAGGCGAAAACTGCACGTCCTTGAGCCTACTTGGCTTGCTTGGCGGCCTTACGATCACCGCGGGTCACCGCGTGGAAGCCCGCTTTGATGGACGCCGCTGTTCTCGAGGCGCCGCATCGCGAGCACTCCACCATGGTCAGCCGCGTGGAGGAGTCCTACCAGACCCCGCGTGCGTCTCAACGTGAGAACCAAACCCTCTAGGGGTAACTTCCCCATTCTTTCCAGGGATCCTTCCTTCTAGAAAACCACCAAACACCCTGGGGAATGGCTGGTTTTTGAGAAGAACGATGGCTGAAAAGAACGGGGGGAAGCAACCCCTGGAAACCCTGGTTCCCTTGGGGAAGCCAACATTTTGTTTTTCTCCGCGCCTTTTTCGAGGCTACCCCCCATTTCAGGTTGGCTCAAATCAAAAAGCGAAGCCCTGGCGGGCGTCCAAATCGGTCCCACCGCGCCGCCAACCGCCCCAACTCACTGGCCAGAGGCTGCCCAGCTACACCAATCTGGACAGGGTTCCAACTGCAGGTCTTGATTGCAAAACAGCTCTGCACAGCTGGAGCCCCTGCCAACCTGACCATGCTCCAATACTGCACTGTCAAGCAAATCCAACACCTTGCCAACCTGCCCATGCTGCACTGACACTGCAAGTTTCCAAATTGATTGCCAAGCAAAGCTGTCACCTGGCAAGGTTGCAACATTGCAAATCAACTAAAGTCAACACTGCAAGCCTTGGGGTTGAAAGACAACCAAGAGCACTGGTCAAACCACCCCAACTCACTGGCCAAAGACTGCCCAGCACAGGAACTGCAGGTCCTGATTGCAAAACAGATCTGGCCACTGCAAAATGTTGCAAATCTGCAGCCCCTGCAACCTGACCACGCTCCAACACTGCACTGTCAAGCAAATCCAACACTTTAAACTTGCCTTCAGAGACTCGCCAGTGCTCACTTGGAATACGTGCTAAAAGGGTTTCAAATGCCCATAACCCATACCCAGATTTCAACATCTCTTTGAGCCATGGCCTACGCAGCCATCAACCGGAGTCCTTCTTCAGGGAGGTCGACGCCGACTTGCACATCTCGCAGGTCACGTACTCCTCGCATTTAGGAAACAAACTTCGGTGGACACCAAGTGGCTGTGGTTGTGAATTCACCACCCATTTTAGGCTTCCTATTTTAGTGGAGATGGAATCGGATGTTCACGGGAGGTACGATTTGGATTTTGCCCCATGGCCAGGTGGCAATGCGATGTCCACCAAACGTTCTCTTGATGACCCCCAGGAAAAAATCATCGCCAAAAAACAAGCGGCGCTGGAAAGAGTGACCGTGGATGCATAAAACCAACCTGAAAGCTTTGAGCGTGTGGCAAATAGGTTGCTTTGTTTGGACCACTTGTGGATGATTTGGGGGTTTCAGCCAATTTTGAGCTTCCCATCCCTTTCAAAATGCCACCTCTTGCTCAAACCATTCCTTTGGCTCATTTTCTTCTGCAGCGCTTTCCACCTCTCCCTATCCTTGCATAGTCCGACTCTCCCATTCCCTCCCCTTTCCCCTTGTCTCATGTTCCACTCTTTCCTGGGGGGTAGCAGCCCCTTGCTGGGTGCCCACAACTTCTTTTCGACATCGCGCCTTGATGTACTTCCGCAGCAAGCTCTCGCAGTGCTTGGGCTGGTACCGGCCCTTGAGCACCAGCTGCCCGTCCTGCAAGCAAACTCTGGCTGGGTCCTTTTTTGGTAAACCACCCACCCCCCACAAAAAGGAAAGTGGGTATCCTTTCGGTGTCCCTTTGAAACCAAAGTCGGGGTATACGGTAGACCTAAAGAAAGACAGATATGTTTTATCTGAATTTTTCAAAGAGATTCCTTTAGAAGGTCTAAACCAACACCTCCTTTTGGCCCAAGGGTGGAAGGCCTCTCCCTACCAAGTCCCCTCCTGGCCCTGGCCCTCCGCGCGGGTGGTGGCGGCACCCGCCACGGAGCCCTCGGTGCCGAACTCCGCCAGCACGAACTGCACCACGTGGTCCACCGGCCGCTTCATCATGCCTGCGGTAGCAACGCCATCCCGCCAGGAGAAAAATTAAAGAAGAAACAAAAACAAATTCGGCTCCTCCCCCGCCTTCATGTTTTTTTCAGAGGCTTCCTTGGTTCGGGTTGGTTGGGATTTGTTTGTGGTCTCTTTTTCGGCCGTGCACGTCGCAGGGAGGGCTCCGCTTATTTGAGGCTTCCCGCGCGTGTCCTTTTTTTTTTGGGGGGGGGGAGGATCGCTTCGGGCACCGGACACGACATGACCCGATTTCCAGAGGTTCCTTAGGTGCGGCAGGGCTCCTCAGGCCCAAGAGGGGTGTATTCTCCGACCAAACATTAGACCAAAAAATGGTGAGGTGTCCTTTTGGTCTGGCTGGATGTTGCTACCCCCGCAAAAAATGGGAACTCACAACATGTTTCATCTAAAACTAGTTAACTGACCAGGAAAAGACCCCTGCTAGAAGCAACTGCAAAAATCCGGTGCCAAGGACCACGTGGGTGGGCGTTGCCGGCAAGCCACAGCAACCCGAAGGAAAAACAAATGGTGGAGAAGAAAAAATGAGGGAACAGAAATAACCGTAAAAAAAGAAAGAAAAAAAAACCTAGCTTTTCTATGCTTTTGTTGGTCAGACAAACTGCGGACCGGGCTGCTGCAAATCTCCGAGAAGTTCACCCAGGCCACCTTCTTGGAGCCAACACGCACCACCTCGCGCGGCAAAACCGGGAAAAATGGATACCTCGAAGGCCCGCGGAGTTTCCATTGTTTGGTAGGTAGGTTCAATGCTGAAATGCCTTCCTCCTGTGCAAGGGTACGTGTCAAAAGCAGGATCCCGCAAATGACAGTAGTGCTGCCTTCCAAGGCGAAAGGCCTCAAACGACGCACACTATCGTTGCGATCCCGCCTGAGGAGGCTTCAGCACATATCGCTCCTTGTTTCCCACATTGGGATTGTGCTCCTCAGGCAAACTTTGGTTGCCACCCTCTGGATCCCCTTTCAAGCAGAAATCTTTGAAGAGGTGTTTCCATATGGCTGTGGTTGTCAACACCAATGGTACTGCTGGTGAACATGGAAGGTGGGATCCATGGGTGTTCATCCGCCCCAAAATGGGATCGCCATAGGTTATGACCCATGGCATGACAAGATTTAATTCGCCGGGTCCTCGATGATCTTGAAGAGACGCTCCAAGAGCTGCTCGTACTCGTACAAGGGGCCAGGCTCCCAGTCTTCCACTCCCTGCAGCTTCACCTCGCCCTCCTTCACCTCTTCCTTCTCGCTCTTATCCTTCTTGTCCTTGGGCATAAAAACAACTCCAAAGAGATGGTGGAAGGGGCGTGATAAAAAATGCCATGAGCTGGTATGCTCCGGCAAAACCCGCCAGGTTTTTTTGGGCGGCGGCCATTCAAATCCCTTGGGCCTTGCTCTTATTCTTCTTCTTCTTGGAGCCGAAGTCGTAGACCTGTTCCTCGTCACCCATGGCTCTACCTCGATTTCGCGTGGAACAAAACTGCAAGGCTTCCTCCGCCTTGAGCCAGGGCTCAGGACAAAGAGCTGTTGAGGCCACTCACCACCCAGCCACATGATACCAGTGGTTTTTTTCCAATCAGAGCGGTCAAAAAGCCCGCAAAAGCTGCTGCTGCTGCTGTGGCACGGAATGACAGAGTCAGGTTTTGGGACTATGTGGCTGCTCAACTTATTTATAACTGTCTGAAAATAAGCTTGCTCATGTGGGTGCGGGTTATCTCACCAATTATTTTTCAATTTTGACGCGCTCACTGTACAAGCAATAAAACGATGTCATGCCTCAGGCATCATCCAAAGCAAGTCTCAACAACTGGTGGCCTAACATTGCCGTCTTTAAGTGCCTATCTTGCTCTTTCCCTCTTTGGTTTTTGCGTTTGGACTCGGAGAAATCCTGCTTCTCCTCTGGTCTTGTTCGCCGCTCCCACTTCTTCTTTCGGGCAATGGTTGAAGGAGCTTGTGAAGAAGCCACTCCGTGCATCTTGTTATGTCTTGCGCTGCGGGTCTGATGGGACTTGGAATACCCTCCGGTCTTGTCACGCAGTTGAGAATCTTCCTCTGACTCTCGATGTTCTATCCGGTCCTGCTCAGACCAATCTGACCAGCAGTCATCATGAAAGTAGTGGAAAATCTGCGGGGTGTCTTCCGCTGTCGACCCATACTTCGCGAAGAACTTGGCCATCGACTCCTTCACAGCCTTGTCCTTCTCCTTCGCTTGAGCCGATTGCATGGCACGCACCGCATGTCGCCCCCAGGGCTCCAGAGAGAGGAAGCTCTCCACCACGGCCTGGCGCACCTGCCACCTGAGTCATGATCAAAACCAGGTATTCAAATCAAAAGAATTAAGAAGGCAAATATCCGCAGCTGTTTATGGTTGGAACCCAGAACCATGTAAAGAACTGAGAAGGCGGATATCCGCAGCTATTTATGGCAAGGGGATTGTCCTTCACTAACCTTCATCAATCCCCGAATCGGTTTTTGAGCACGTGGCTCACCTGTGGCTGACGAGCCCCTCTTCGCCCATCAGCTCCAGCAGGTCATGGACGCTCCCAAGCTGATCCGGGCGCTCCGCGGCCTGGAGCTCTGCCTGCTGGGCTCGGCTGAGGCTGTGCTGCCACTCGCAGAACCTGCGCCGCAGGTAGTACACCATGGCCACGGACACTTGACATGCGGAAGCTTCAACCGAAATATCCGGATCATCAAGGCCCTCCTGCCATCCGGCCCACTTTGCCCAGTGGCTGTCCAACTTTCTGGAAATCTCTCGGCAAGCGAGTGAAATGCCTGCATCGTGCTTTGCTGCATCCAAATTCATTCGTTCGCCCAAATACAGAAGCTGGCATATCAACACTCCTGGCAAACTTTCAAACACTGGGTGAGCTTCAGCTGCAGCTTCGAATGTGGGGATGCAACTAGTGAGGTATGCAGCGGCAGCCTTCTGTACATCTTCCGAGGGATCGAAAAAGGCTCGGCAGACATGGGGCAGAATGATGCGCTCTCGTTGCAGCTTCATAAAAGGAGAGGGGCTGTCGCCCTCCAACAATCCGATGACCGACTTCGTGGCAGCCAAGCGGGTGTTGGATGATTCCGACTCAAAGAAGGACTCCACAGCCTGCTTGGCTTTCCCCATGATGGAGAGCTGCTGAAAGGGCCCGTACCCCGCTGGCGCGTACCCATATGTCAAGATGTCAGCAGCGTAGCCTGCGCCCGCCTCTTCGAACCACGAAAGCGCTTCGGCAGCTGCCGCTCGAACTCCGCGCTCGCCATCACGGAGGAGGTTGGCTATGGCAGCTGCATGAGGGAAGGCAACTCGACCCATCCATGAGAGTGCGTCCAGTGCAGTAGCCTTCACTGAGGAATCCTCATGCTCCAGGCACTTCGCCACTGCAGCGGCCAGAGAATGTGTTGGAGTGGTTGAGGCGACAAGGAGCAGCTTCTCCACAATCAACTCAGGCTTTTGTGGCCAGCTGTTTATCACCGTGATGTGGCTGCCATTCTCCAGCTTAAGTTCGGCCACGGACTCGTGGCTGAAGATCTCCTTGCCTCCACAAATGAACCTTTGCACAAGTCTGGGGATCTTCAGCGTTCGCTCAATGGCTCCACGCAACTGATCTACTCTTCCAGATGTCGAGGCTGCAATCGTGCAACTTTGGCCTGAAGGTGTGGACACACAAAGGGACACACGCCCAGGCAATGCGGAAGTCATATCAGGGAGGCAAAGTGTGGCGATTCTTAGTCCTAGTTTGAGCCATGAGGCTACAACTCCGAACTTAACCTGCCAACGATGGCAATCTATTTTGCAGTTTGGACTTCTGAGACCCTGCCCCGTTCTAAGCCTTGCAACCTTACTTGCAACATATGCAATGCAAGCAAAACTCCGACTCCTTGTGCAAAGCATGCGATGGTCGGAAGACGCTGACCTACGCTGATGCTAAACTGATGCGTCCTGTTGAGCCCGTTTGAGCTTCAAGAGGTGAGTAATCCTCAAACAGTTGCAGTATACCACAGGTATGCAAATTGTATACCCATAACATACCATATAGGGCAATTTGCAGTATGCCAATAAATATGCTACACTCTGCCGGTAAACGGTTTTCCTCGCCTCCACGCGAGGCGGCAGACTGTCCCCCAGGACCTGCACTATTTGACGTGTTCATGGTGTTTCTCAAAATTGGGGGCCCGACTTGTGGGGACCCAGAGTTTGAGAAACTCCCCCATATTTGCTTTCTGGGCAACCCAAAAAAAGTGGGCCCAAAGATCTGTGATGGAATCTCGCAGGCCGAAATTGAAAAATACGCGTCTTTACAGGCAAATGTACCGGGGAAACACGATGAGACATGCCATAAATCCACCTGCACTCCGCTCAAGCTCACGTCCAAATCGGACAACTAAATAGCAACCGCTGCCAGCCTCGCTCTTCAAGCGTTGCAGCAGGAAAGGTGCCAGAAGAGCGTGGCATTGGGTTATGACCTGCATGCGCGAGGCTATGAACATGCCGCCCTTGATCCTCGCCCACCAAACAGGCGACGTGGGGGCATTCGCTTGTGGAACAAAAGCATTCTTGGGCGAAATCATGGCGCCTCCTGCTCCTGCTGAGGATTCAACTGCCTTGGAGCAAGTGGGGGGTCTCATGTTGCTCTCAGTGTGCAGTTCGCTTCCATCCAATGATAAGCCAAAAGTTTCCCTGGAGTTCAACATCATCCACCCCAGGAACCCAGGAACCCAGGAATCCCTGGCGCGTGTCTTGCCGCCTGTCTTGCATCCACAAGCGCGTCAGGAAAGGCCCGCCAGGCCGCCACTCGACTCAGCTGGGGCGCTGAGCCCCGCGCACGTCGTACTCGTTCTCCTCGGTGCCTCTGAAGGGCTTGGCGAACCAGGCCTCAGACCGGGCGACAGGTGGCGGGGAGAATCTGTCAACTCCATTGCTTTGTGGTGCAGAAGGCTCAGCGCGGAAATGGGGGAAGGTGGACACTGAGGGTCCCTCTCTCTCTCTCTCTCTCTGTATACATATATATATATATACATATTGTAACCGCCTTCTCTTGCTTTTAGGTTTTCTGGATAAAAAATCGACTCCAGGTCGGGAATCCAAAGCGGATCATGATCAGTTGGGCCTTGAAGTCCAGCATCTCGGTGAACAAGTCCGGCAGGAGATAATGCAGCAGCGCCCAAAGCTCTGCGACACCTCGTGGATGGCTCCATGCCAAAACGACACGACACGACGCACTCCGACGCACCAGCCAACCAAAAATCAGGCAAGCATTGATATGGCTGTGGGTAAAAAATGCGAATCGAAAATGGAACTCTGGTAAATGGAACCAAAGACTAAAACCGGCAGTCCCCTGGTGGTTTCATTTTGACCCATACCCATATGTTTCGACCGGCAACCGAAGCAGCCGGAGCGCTGGATATGCCAAATCAAGTCTGGGAAAACCGCGGCTCAGCTTCTTTGGCCTTTCAAGCCGCAGTCCCCCGAGAAGAGTCCTACGCACAGCTCAGCTTCATCAGCTCAGCTTCATTCGTCTCTCTGGCTGTCCTCAAGGGAGAGACCCGTCTCTGCGGCAAAAAAGAGCCAAACATGGGTTCTGTTGTTCTGGGAAACCCATCTTCCTTTGGTGACGCGAAGATGTGAGGCAACCTGGTCATGTGGCACGTGGCTGTTTGTAAGTCAAGAGATGCATTTGCAAAGCTTCCTTCCCAAACGGTCGCCCCGTCCTTCCAGCTCCGAAAGAGGAACCAAACCACGCCCCACGCGCCGCGCAAAAGCGCGCAATGCAGGCTGCGCCACTCTGCAGGAAGACTGTCCTAGCCAAAAGAGGCTGAATTTCATACCCAAGAAATCCCGAGGGCCCTCCATGAAGCCTTGCAGGGCTCTTTTCATGTCATTTCCGCGTGTCACTTTGCTCTTTCAGCAAGGAAAAGCACCGACGGCGCGGGTTCAGAGATCCGCGCTCCTCGCTGCCCAAGCCCATGGGACGTCTCGGCCATGGAGGAAGGTCCAGATCCGTATCGTCCCTCCTACGCTCGGAACCCGCCACTGGGCGGGCATCAAGCTGCTCACTGGCCAACCAGTTGGACCGTCCCCAAAGTTGAAGCCTCCGCTGGGTCTTGGCCCCCATTCCAATCTTCCACGCCCTTTTCCTGTGGGGAAAGCCAAATACACGAGATCACCTTCCATGGGCCAGCCAACCAACCCGCCTCCCGAACTCGAAGGCGTGGCGGTCCAGGGCCTCCAGGGCCTCCGGCGCGATGAAGGGCTGCAAGGACCCGTCGGGGCAAACCGCCACACGCGCGGCGTCGTCCGCCAGCAAGCACCACTCCTACGAAAATCCAAACGTTTCCCCGGCCGAACATCCTAACATCCTACACCAAAAGCGGCGTCAATGCGGCAAACCCTCGGCAACGGAAACTGCAAGAAAGCCTGTCTCGCATGTGACGTGTCGCTACAAAGCTGGAGCAAGCACGTCGCCTTTTCCTAGTGACAAACGCGACTGCCAGCACCTTCGAGCTTGTGCAGCTGAGAATCGAAGTCGCTGAGGAGCAGCGCCGTTCCCGCTGGAAGTCCTTGCTTCACCAGCTCCCGATTGACAGCATCTGCCTCAGAGACCAGGCACTCAACTGTGTAAAAGCCCTTGCACAACCGCAAAAAGCGGACTAAACAAAGTCACCGCAAAACGCAGAAAGGACCCCTTCAGAACCCAGAAACCTTGAGCCTGGATCTCCGCCCAGGCACCGCCTCCTCATCCAGGGCGATGATGAGGTCGTGCTCGCGCAGCGCCTCGTCGCCCAGGCTCACGCGCACGCCGGAGCCCAGCTTCCGGAAGATCTGCCGCAGCTCCTCCTCCTCGATGCCCACGTTCTCGGCGAACTCTGCCACGCAACCCACGGGGCCCAAGGCTTCGGTCGTCTCCTGAGAACTGCCACGGCATGACACAAGAGACTTGTCTCACAACTCATGAGTTGAAGTCATGACTCTGGGTTTGAACACGCTTCAGGCGGTGATACGTACGGATCCTTCCAGCCACCCGCCTCAGCCACGTGCGCGCAGGCGTAGAACTCCAAGGTGCGGCTGAGCCCGTTCCACGCCGCCGCGCCGTCCGAGATGCGCTGCGCCAGGCGCGCCCGGGCGTAGGACGGCGCCTGGGCGTCCACGAAGAGCACCGAGACGAAGCAGCGAGACCAGTCGAGCCGGGCCCCCAGAGCCTCCAGTCGCTGAGTGTGCCACGCGGCCATGAAATTGCTTGGAGCACCGCTGGGAGTTGCGCGGGAAGACGACCTTCGAAGCCGAGCCGGCCTCCGAAGGCAGGGCACAAGGAACAGCGGAGAAGCTGCTGGACGCCACCAGAGGTTCGCGCGCTCAGCTGTCCTCGGATGCCCAGGCAAAGGTCCGTGCGCTGCGATTCGTGGGCGCCATCTGCCACCTTGCACCTCCATGGCGACAGAGGTAGCTGCTAGCCAACCAATTGGGCTGCCATGCGCACACTGCAGCGTCCAGCTGGTTCAACTGCTGTTTTCGGACTGACCCGTGTTGCACCTTGAACGCTCGGTGGAAGCAAGTAAGTGTCACGCAATACGATGCGTGAGAGCATTCTCCAAGCATCTAAGCTGCCTGTGCGTCCTTCAGAAAGCTCCAGAAAGCGCAGACCGAAGCACATCACGTGAAGGCAATTCCCTGCTTTGAGGTGTCAGCGGAAGGAAGGAAGGAAGGAAGGAAGGAAGGAAGGAAGGAAGGAAGGAAGGAAGGAAGGAAGGAAGGAAGGAAGGAAGGAAGGAAGGAAAAAAGGAAGGAAGGAAGGAAGGAAGGAAGGAAGGAAGGAAGGAAGGAAGGAAGGAAGGAAGGAAGGAAGGAAGGAAGGAAGGAAGGAAGCAAGGAAGCAAGGAAGCAAGGAGAGCAAGGAAAGCAAGGAAAGCAAGGAAAGCAAGGAAGCAAGGAAGCAAGGAAGGAAGCAAGGAAGCAAGGAAGCAAGGAAGCAAGGAAGCAAGGAAGCAAGGAAGCAAGGAAGCAAGGAAGCAAGGAAGCAAGGAAGCAAGGAAGCAAGGAAGCAAGAAAGCAAGGAAGCAAGGAAGCAAGGAAGCAAGGAAGCAAGGAAGCAAGGAAGCAAGGAAGCAAGGAAGC